GGGTTATGGGATACTGCAGACTTATGGGTTTTTACTATCTACCATGTCGGTGGAAGCCAAAAACCTATGGGTTATTACAGGTTATGGGTTATGACAGGTATGGGTTAAGACAGAGTCGACTGTACACATATATGGTGCGAAGTGGCGCCGCAGGCCAGCTTCTAATACCACATATGGTAAGTCCCACGATCCCAGAGGCATTGTGACCAGTGACAAACCCCAGATTTCGTCTCACGACAGTCACGCCATATCCATGGGGGCTGAAAAGCTGTTGCATAGCCGAACATGCAAGCACCCAAAAATTGGTTTTTGACAGCGGGGGAAATTGAGCTGGGTATAATACCCGATCGAAATGGAAATGTGAGCCAAGCTTGCCGGCAGAGAGCACCTTATAACGAGCGCTGTGTAGTGCTGTGGACGACGGGGAGGGTTCATCGCAGCCTGGGCCTGCTTCGTCGTGTCTGGGTGAAGGAGCATAGCTATGAGCGTCTAGTGATGCCGCGGTCCGGCTCGGTCCAGTTATTGGCCCAAATTTCCGGACCTGGGACCGGACCCAAGGTCCAGTTTGGGTAAATGTCCGGACTGTGAACCTCAAAGAACCCGAAATGGTGTTGGGTCCGGTCAGGTTCGGGTTCGAACCCCCCAAAATTACCATATTTAGGTATGGTTCAGGCATTGTGGCCCCACCTGGACCTCATTTCAGGTTCGGTCCACCCCAAAGCCGAACCGCGGACCAGAACCTGGGTCTGGTCCGAGGTTCGAACCGGTTCTCCCAGGTTCAGGAACCGGACTGCGGCATCACTATGAGCATCACAACGTCGTTTCAGCTTTCAACACATGGTCAGCAACGGTTGCAGGACCTGATAATACCAATAGAAGGGATTATCGACACCCGACAAAAAGTGTATTTGGCGCATGAAATGGCCTAGTTGCTTCGGACCGTTTGACATAGGCCGGTTGGCCATGGGCACCTTCCGGACGAATATCCGAGGCCGGGAGGAAAATCCGGTGATATTGGCCCATTTCCACAGGACATTGATGAGTGGCATCTGTAAACAGCCTCTGGTACTATTATGAGGGGGTCCTTCAACTGTAGCGAAAGTCAGTATTTGAACAGTGGAAGGAACGAGTGGTATAGAGACCTGTCCGGCGCATTCTTCCGCTCCTCTTCAATCAAACGAGAAGCACATTATTCTAGATTCTCACCGCTCTCCATAACCCTTCCGCGTGTACTGATAGCAGTCTTGCACGGAATTCATCTCCAGAGGCCCAAGAGTACAGAGAACGCGTCCCCTGTCACGTATTCCATTCCTAAAGTCGCTGGGTGGATACCGCGGTACGCAGTTGAGTCTCAAGAGGGGACGTAAATTGCATGTAGGGGGGTATTGTGGCATGAGCTCGCAGAGATGACCTCACGTGGGAACGCGTTTCCCTTTTGTCTCACCTCCGTCCGAACCGTTCCCAAAGTGTCCGAGCAACGCCCGTCTGCAGCGGATCCGTAAGCTGATTGATGTCCATTCAGAACTGCTTATACACGACAGTCTCCGAGAGTTTCTGAGCTCCCCATAAATAATACAAAAGGGCTCTGAAGGCACGCAGCCATCCTAAGAATGTCATCGCACCAGTTTGGAATGAACATCCGCCAGCCGCACCACCTCCAGGAACGCGGGTACATCCCCATCGCGGACCATGCCTTGTAAGCTACACGTCTGTGTCAGAATTAACATATAAACTGAAGAGCACAGGATCGGTAACCTGAGGACAGCTGCTCTGGTGCGTCGTCTCTGAGATTTCGCGTCGTACACGGTACTGAAGCCGCGCAGGTCAGCTTAGATGGATCCAGTGAGCAGTGGCAATCCCAAGTCGCCGACGTCTAATCCATGTCATGTCTGCCAGTCGAGAGCTACTGCGTGCCGAACTTTGACTCGCCGTCGATCTTCGCGCGCATCCTGGACAAGGACAAGGGCGGCCACTTCTCCATCACGCCCACCGTGCCGTTCACCACCAAGCAGGCGTACCTCCCCTCCTCCAACGTCCTCCAGACAAAGTTCATGAACGACCAGGGCGTCGTCAGCGTCACCGGTCAGCCCTCCCATTCCCCTTACCTGTCTACTTGCCTCAGCTTCACCCAGACTTCCTCCCTCGCCAACGCGAACCGAGCACGAAACCCCTCCTCTTCTGGCTGGTCCGCCGCATCGAAGTCATCCGCGGCGCCCTCCCTTTGCAGCTCACCTGCGCGCCCGCCTTCAACTACGCGCGCGACACCCACACCACCGCCATCATCCCCGACACCTCCGTCCCCTACCCCGCGCAACAAAAGGCGCTCTTCCACTCCGCGGACCTAGACCTGGACCTGCGGTTCGTGGGAGAGAGCCTCGTGGAGGGCGTTCCCGAGCCGAGCGTGCAGCTGGAGCTGCTCGACCTCAGCGGGAAGGGGCACAAGGGCCCCGCGGTGCAGAGCACATTAACGCTCACAGAGGGGCAGGCGGTGACGTTCGTGCTGCGCGTGCCGCCGAAGGAGGGCGCGAAGGTGCCGGCGCCGAGCGTGCAGAGGGCGGAGGAGCTGGGGGTCAGCTTGCCGAGTGAGTCGATGGGCGCATGCGTGGTAATTCAGGCGGCTCATCTTCGCAGGTCTGATCGAGTCTGCGTCCCGCTTGAGGGCGCCTGACGACCCGCTCCTGACGAAGGTGCATAAACTCTCCCAGTCCGCTTCACCCTCCCCTAACCCCCTTCCCTCAGACCCTTGTCCAAAGGCTCCTAAATGTAAGCCACCCTTCCCCTCCCCGCCCGATCCTATCCCCACCCGTGCCCATGCCTAGGAAACCAACACCTACTGGAACACCTGGATCCGCGGGAGCACCTACACCGGCGCGTGGAAGGAGGCCGTGCACCGCTCCGCGCTCGCGCTCAAGCTCCTCATCTTCGAGCCGACCGGCGCGGTCGTCGCGAGCCCGACGTTCAGCCTGCCGGAGTACATCGGCGGGACGCGCAACTGGGATTACCGGTGCGTCTGCGTCCGCGTTCGTGTCGCGGCGCGGGACTGATGAGGGTGGGCAGGGCGTCGTGGATACGCGACGCGTCGTTCATACTGTATGCGCTGATGCGGCTCGGGTTCACGCAGGAGGCGAACGGTAGGCCCGCCCCCGTCCCTCGCAAAATGTACAACCCCACACCTTTCTTCTCCCAGCGTACATGGACTTCATATTCGATAGGATTCAGGACAAGAACCCCGACGGCAGCCTGCAGATCATGTACACCATCCACGGCGGGAAGGAGTTCCCCGAGGAGGAGCTGACGCACCTCGACGGGCATAAGGGGTCGAGACCTGTGCGGTGAGTGAATTCGCGGAATCATGGGTATCGGCGGGCCGGTGATGGGTTTCAAGGATCGGGAACGGCGCAATCGACCATGTGCAACTGGTATGACCTGCCCCTTCGCTCTACTAGTGAAGCCCGAATTGAAGCGCTTAAAGGATATCTACGGTGAACTGTGATTACCCTCGCTCTTGTAAGTGCTGCCGTCCGTCGCACTCCAGATCGTCCAGTGCTGACCAAGCCCTACCCGCAGCCTGTCCCGCGTCCGGGCTATGAGACTTACTGCTTTTCGTGGCTAGCATGGACTCGGTGTACCTGAGTCAGAAGGTGCGTGCGCCGACTTGTCCGAGCGCACACCTCTGTTAAAGTGGTGCGGGCAGTTCGGGCGGCCGCTGGTACGTCTATGGATGTCGCTGCAGCAAGGAACACGGTCTTGATCATCCTCGGATGCTTAGTCCTATGATACATGGTAAGAGGGACCGATAATGTTACTGCGTTGACGATGTACCAAGCTCCTGATGCGACTGATGTGTGTTTCTGGTACAGGGTCGGAGTGCGAGAGCTGTAAGCATTCCACCCGCCATGATTCCTGAGGATACCATACTAATGCACCTTCACAAAATGCCAGAGTAGATTGTACGCGAATATCATGCCATCCCTGATAACGTTCCGTGCCCTCATCCCGCACTGCCAGATGTGGTAGCCAACTACAACCGCCCTGACCTGTGAGTCCTCCCGTAAATACCAGACATTGCACTGTCCACTAAACTCAAGTCGGCAGGTCTATCTGGTTCGTCTGCATGCATGTCGAAGAGGCTAGCTTTGGTCCGGCTAATCCGCGGTCCACAGGGAAGTGAGGAACAGGATGCGGCACTTCACGGTAGGTGTGCGGATGCCGATGTCGACGCGGTGTTGCTGACTAGCGGATGTTTCTAGTATTCCAAGGTAAGAATCACGCGCGCGATTCCGACTGCGACTCCTGACACTGGCTCTACGCCTAGATCATGATGTGGTGCGTAGTCACGATTCATGCATTCTCTCTGTTTGTACTAACGGCTGGGAAGGGTCGCAATTGACAGAGGTATCTATTTGCTAGCCAACCACCTCACGCTGTTCACGTACTTATACTCTCCCAGGCTTGCGACTGGCCGACAAACGCTCGCTCCCGTGCCCGAACCGGCTGAAGTGGCTGACGGCGCGGGACGATCTCTACGAGCAGATCATGAAACATGCGTGGAACTCAGAGAAGAAGTTCTTCGCACAGAGCTACGAAGACAAGGACGTGCTCGACTCGGCGGTGCTCATCATGCCCCTTGTGTTTTTCTCCCCTGCTGTAAGTCGAAGTCATCCCTACCGGAATGGTAAGAGTGTGCTGATGCACTCGGGAATCCGCAGAGCGACCCGCGGTTCGTGAGCACTTTGAAGCAGATTTTAAAGACACCGGAACGCGGTGGCTTGACCTCGAACGTATGGCTCCTTCCAAGCTTGTACGCCCCGACTGGTTGAACAAAGCGCTTCGTTGACAGAATCTGGTATACCGGTACGATGTCACTAAGACCGACGACGGTGTCGGCGGCGAAGAGGGAACTTTCTGCTTGTGTACTCTCTGGTATGTTTGTTCTGTTAGCATCTTCGATCTCACTCACCAGGTATGTAGGTGCGTCGAAGCCCTGACGCGTGCCGGAGAGTATGACAAGTCGATGTTGGCGCGAGCTGTAGCGATGTTCGAGGTATGTTCGTCGTCCTTTTTACTGCCCGGTAAACATCTTTATGCCAATCGTACCAGGACTTCATTCAATACACAAACCACGTTGGGCTGTGCACCGAGGAGATCTCGGCTTCTGGAGAGGCCCTCGGGAACGCTGTGCAAGGCTTCACGTAGGTCGTCTCCTGAACGAGTCATTCGAGTTGCTCATTGTATACTTCGCAGCCATGTAACCCTCATCTCAGCCGCGTTCAACCTCTCGAGAGTTCAAGGTAGAGCTGCTTCTGGACAACCCGGACTTGGGAACTGAAGGTAGGACGCCAAGGCAATGAGGAGAATGTAGGCTGTTTTAGATACCAGTAGATGCCGTCTCGGAACAAAGTGCAACGGACTTGTGTACATCCCACCAAGATTGATACATTACGAAGGTGTATTACGAACAACATCAACTACTAATTCAGCCGTCTAAAGTGAAGCTACTTCGGAACTGTAGGGCCCCCAATCTCAGGCAGGTTACCGCCCAAGTTATCCGGGATAGCCAGGGTAGGGTCCGTCTGGCTCTTCAGCCGCCCGCCAAACAGTACAGGGCCGTGCTCGGCGCGGAAGTCCGCAATGCGCTTCTCGACCTCAGGGCGGAAGTGACGCATGAGACCTTGGACGGGCCATGCAGCAGCGTCACCCAGAGCACAGATCGTGCGGCCTTCAATTTGTTTTCTGGCGGATGGGCAATGTCAGAATCCGGAACGATGGTGCTCCTTTTGAGCGGGAACTCACGTAAGCTCGAGCAGCATGTCAATCTCCCGCTGGTGGCCTCTGCCCTCAACGAAGCGGTCCATCATGTTCATGAGCCATGTGGTGCCTTCTCTGCATGGCGTGCACTGCCCGCAGGATTCGTGCTTGTAGAACTGCAAGGGGTAATGCAGTCAGTGGGATGCTGTTTTGCACCGAACCAGTCCGGAACGTACGTGTGAGAAACGCGCGATAGCCTTAACAACGTCGGTGCTCTTATCCATGACGATGACAGCACCGGTACCGAGACCAGATTGGGCATCCTTTAGCGAGTCGTAGTCCATCCTAACGAAACGCTTAGCAAAGAACGACCAATGAGGATCACTGCACTCACAAGACCTCCTCGCACAAGTGCTTAGGGAGAATGGGAACCGAGCTACCACCGGGAACAATGCCCAGAAGGTTGTCCCACCCGCCGCGGACACCGCCGCAGTGCTTCTCGATGAGGTCCTTCAGGGGGATACTCATCTCCTCTTCGATGACACAGGGATTGTTGACGTGGCCGCTGATGCAGAACAGCTTCGTGCCCTCATTCCGCTTCCGCCCGAACCCAGCGAACCAGCTAGCGCCCCGCCTGCAGATTGTGGGCGCGACCGCGACCGTCTCGACGTTGGACACCGTCGTCGGGCACCCGAACAGTCCCACGTCGGCGGGGAACGGCGGCTTCAGGCGCGGCTTGCCCTGCTTGCCTTCGAGACTCTCGATAAGCGCCGTCTCCTCGCCGCAGATGTACGCGCCGGCCCCGCGGTGCACGTACACGTCGAACGCGTAGCCGGACCCGCACGCGTTCTTGCCGAGATACCCCGCTTTGTACGCCTCCGTGATGGCCTGCTGTACGTGCGACGCCTCCTGGTAGAACTCGCCGCGGATGTAGATGTACGCGGCCGTGGCGTTCATCGCGCGCCCCGCGATGAGGCAGCCCTCGATCAGCTTGTGCGGGTCGCCGCGCATAATCTCGCGGTCCTTGCATGTGCCCGGCTCGCCCTCGTCGGCGTTCACGACAAGGTATCGGGGTCTGGACAATATATTAGCAGAGCCGCGTGCACATGAGCGTGCTCTCACCTGGGATCCTTCTCCCAGCCCGGCTTGTTCATAAAGCTCCATTTCAGCCCGCTCGGGAAACCGGCCCCTCCTCGCCCACGTAGACCCGAATCTTTGATGGTCTGGATAATCCAGGAGTCCCCCTTCAACACAATGTCCTTCGTCCGATGCCAGTCGCCCCGGGCCTACTGCCTCTTCAGTCCCCAGACTCTGCCAATCCATAGTGCAGACGTACCATTGCGCCCTTGATACCGTGGTCATGTCTGCAGTACGCATTCTGGAAGATACGGTCCTGATCTTTGAGACCGCCGTAGTGCCTGACCGGTGTATCCTGTACCGTAGCGAACGACCGTCGAAGCTTGGCCCTGAAAGGCCGGGCGACACCTGATAAAGATGACATGAGGCGTTGATTTCGCACTTTCTAACGCAACGCACGGGTTGTGGGCGACGCCTTCAACATTGTCGACGACGTCGAGCAAGATGATTTGTGTTTCGTCACTGACAGCGGCGGCGGCTGCAGGTCGGAAAAGCGGAAGCGTTCGGAGATTACCGGCAGCCAATCAGACACAGCAGATTCTAAGCAAGTCGCCGGTGTTCAAATTCGTCCTTATTCCCCGCTATCCTAGTCCACGAGGATAATTATACAAGTTTGCCTCTAATACATCGGGCAACTTATAGGAAGGCGGTACCGTTTATTCAAGCTCCTTTATTCCGATTGAGCAGACTCCAGACATTGTATATATAGGACGGTGATTCTCCAGCAGAGACTCTCCGAGTCAGGATCGTCCAACGACGGTCAATTACCGCTGAATTTTGAATTTCTGAGGCAGAAGGATGCTGCTGATGCATAGCGTGGTAAGCTTAGCAGGATTGACCTAGCTATAGATGATAATGCAACTACAGAGAACGTGCATTACCGTTGCTGACTCGACTCCCTTATCGCGGCATGCATCTGCAAGGCTCCTCGGGCTGAACTTCTTCCGCATGTGTGCCAGCTTTTGTACTATTGACATTCTCTCCAGATGGATCCTTCTCGAACTGAAGATCCAATACAGCTCGCGCATTCAGGGGCGGAGCTGCTCGACCGATAGGTTGATTCGCCCGCAAATGGACGAACTTGAGCCCAGTGTGAACTGTACAGTTCACGGCGAGCTCCAAGCTTGTCCAGGGTCGCCATCCATCGCTGCACCTTCTCGTCTGAACCCCATGAGGAGCCGACTGATTTCGTGCTAGAGTGGACCCGTGCTCCTGCTTTCAAGATTAAGAGGAAGCCGAAGCGATCCAAGCATGGGACGAACAGTGCTATGTCTATCGCTGTTCCAGACCCTTGGCGTGTCCTGTGCAACTCCGATCGCGCAGGCTGTTTCTTAGTTCCCGGTCCATCCTGCAGCTAGCGCGCAATCTCTCCATCCCTCTTCGTCTTCACCCTCTACGTTAGACCTCATTTTCCTGGCTGTGCACTGCTGTCTCTGCCCAATGTTAGGTCTACGCCCGCCGAACTATCATCACACTCCACGCCGCTGCCATCATATCTAAGACTTGGATGCACTTTACTAGTGGATTGCAATTGTGATACCATTTCGAGCGCTCGTGCTTTATAGCATCTGACTACCTGTGATCTCAACTGGCTTATCTCTAATATCAGCTTGTCCTGGTACGGCCAATCCAGCTCTGAGGCAGTTTCTCCATGTGCTGGACCCCTCGCTCGCCTACACCAGCCCACGGCGCTGCCTCGACGACAGACGCTGCCCCGTCTTCAAAATTCCATGGCAACGGATATACACTTGTATACACTTGCCGTTATCAGCGTCTTCTGGATAACGTCTATTTCCGATACTTAGCGGGGCGTCAATCCAGTCCTTGACCTGGGATTGATAACGGACCTCGCCGCTTATTGTGACTACCATCCGGGGACCGGCGCCCACATCTAGATGTCTCAAATGCAAACCTTCCAATGCCTATGTTCATCGTATTGGATACTGGAAGATGTCCAGAGTGAACATCTCGCCTCCGACTAAATTTTGAGAGGCTTCCCTGGTCCTCGAGTGCTAAGAAGCAGTGGCGACGCCGACGGTCAGAAACTGTTCCCAATCAACTGGTCCTCCACCAAATCGATCCATCTGCCTGATGAACATTTCATTGACTGTGTCGATAAATAAGATGCAGGTAAAGCTTGCCTGTGCATCGCTCGACCTCCCGACATCATTACTTCTCCACGGTATTCGTGTGGAAGAGACCGATCCCATTACCGGCGAGGGATTCGCAGACATTTTTCGTGGCGTATATGGGCACAATATTGTCTGTGTGAAGCGCATACACATCTTCCCCAATAGTTCGATAAGCGGCCAAGTCCGGGTGAAGAAGGTATCGCTGACGTCTAGACCCACAATAAAGAAATACTACTAATATCACGAAATGCAGATGTTCTGCAGGGAAGCGCTTCTGTGGTGCAACCTTCGTCACCCTTATATCCTCCCATTTCTGGGACTCGATGTCGACTCTATCAAATCATAACCCACTGTCACGACTCTGTTTAATATCGCCTTGAATGCGTCATGGTGATGCATACCGCTATGTCCGCGCGCATGAGGTATCACTTGCGGATACCACCAGATTGGTGTGTGGCGTTAAATATCATACCTCCTCCTTCCAGCGCGTTAATCTCTCATGATAGCTATTCGAGGTATCGCAAGGCCTGGAATATCTGCATTGCCATAATATAGTACACGGCGATCTGCGAGGTGTATGTAGTCCACTTCGGCGAGGCTGGGATTAACCTTGACATTATAAGCAGGGCAACGTTCTGATTGATGATGCCTCACATGCACGCTTCGCAGACTTTGGTCTATCGCGTTTCTCGGAGGCCACGAAAGGGGCGTACACCACAGCCACGAGAGAGGGCTCCACGCGATGGACGGCACCTGAGCTGTTCCCTGACTCGGACGAGGATGAAGGCGAGGGGCCTTGTATCAGAAGAACCCGGCAGACCGACGTGTATGTTTATGGCTGCTTGTGTCTCGAGGTGCGTTTTGTGCACGTATCCCTTGCCTGTTCCCGTCTGACTTAACTTGCAGCTATACACCAAGGAGGTGTCATTTCATACGATCGATGAATATAGGGCGGTTAGCAGAGTCCTGCGGGGAGAGCGCCCCGGGAGACCAGAGAGAATAATCGATGACGCCCTCTGGGAATCGATACAGAGGTGTTGGAGATCCACGCCCTCCGATAGACCTCCAATATCGGAGATAGTTTCGAATATGCCCCGGGCTTTTGGGAAAGAGGTACCACTAATATTCCTAGGTGATACTGGTGAGCAACATGCTTGACACGTACCATAGGCTGTTAATTGGAGCACCAAAGCTCAGCAACGCAATTCCTCAGCTGATCCACTAGATCTCCCAGCGGGCGCACCAACCATAGTCTACGCCCTAGAGGTCATATTGTATTGTATTGCATTAGAGTGATGAATTCGAAGTTCCTGCACATCCGAGTAGAGTTAAACATGACTCATGAATTTATTATCCAGTATAATGCGCGCAGACGAGCAGACGTATATGCCGCGGATCGTGTCGCAAGTCTCACCAATGCACTTCACTTATCTGCGAATTTGCTTCACAACGACGGGCAACACGCCTACAGAAACGATGACCAACCGAAGTGCACCACGAATGGAGCGACGTACCTCCTGTAGGTAGCTTGTACCGCTCCCTCCCTATCGCACTCAAGAGTCCATTTATCCATCCGCTATGCGATGTGATAGAGACTAGCCCTAAGCAGCCCTCAGCGGATCAGCGGAAGTCGGACCAAGGAAAAGGCTCGGAGAAGCCACGAACATCTATCATCCTGATCGAAAATGGTATCCAATACCATCCTCGCGCGCTCAGCAACATGCGCTTCCGCCTCCCTCTCCTCCGTCCACAGCGCATCTTCCTCGCTGAACCCAGTTTCGACTCGGAACTTCGGAAACGCGTGGCGGATGTACGAGAGAGGGCGGCGCTTGTCGCACGTGTGCTCGCCGTAGTGCTCGCGTATATTCTATAGATACAGGTGTCCTCAGGGCCATCTCAGCGACAGGGAAAGGGGTATCATACTTCGAGGATGAGTGTATCCCGCTCATCACCGAACGTCCCCACGAGCGTCTGCAGAGCGCGCGTCATCGGGCTGCTGTACAGAGTATCTGGGATAGGGAAGCCGGCCTCTACTTCGGCGTCGAGCAAGGCCTTGACGAGGGCGGCTTGGGATTGTCCGAGGGGAGTAAGTTCCGGGTCGGCTATAAGAGCAAAGTGATCGAGTGTTGGTACGTCGGGGTGGAGGAAAGGTCGCTTACGGCCCCACACTATCTCTCCGTCGCCGTCGAGTTTGGACCAGTAACTGTGGCAGTGATGTAGACCGTGAGCAGCGTGGGCGAGTGACCCAGGAAAGAATGGCTTACTCGTCCCAGGCCTAAGAGTGCCATTTATTTGGTGCTACGCGCATATATGGACAACCTCACATACTTTCGTTCCGTACTTTGCTTCCGCGACGTTATCTTCAGAGTCTGGAGTTAGAAGAGAGGAGTCACAACGGGAGGAAAATAACGGCATACGCCACCCCTCCCCATGTCTCCCGAGTATGAACGCCTTGTACGATGTCCCTTCCCCGGCATCTGCGTTGAGCTTCGTAACGGCAGCCTCGAACTTCGTCCAGCGGTCTGGCGACTCATCTATGAGACCGAACCTGGGGGGCGTCTACACGCAATCAGCCGTATGCTACTCAGAGTGTGGAAACGAAAGGAAGGGCGGGAAGCGTAGATTCCGGATCGGGGGCGGCCGCATTCCAAGTATCGTGTAGTACGCGGTGGGCGCATGAATGTGGCGTAAGTGCGAGGGACGTGGCACTCACAGCTCCAATGATCTCTGGATTGCAACTTGGACCGTCTTGGAGAAAGAACCCGGGAACAGCCTATGTGATGCAGAGAGAGTATCAGCGTTCGCTCGAAACGGGGTTCCATTTGAGCAACTTACTTCATATGTCGCGTTTACCATGGCTGCTTGGTGCTAGTCTGGTGCCAGCGTCGTGCTTCTTACTAGTAGAGCAAGCAAACTGCAAGTTATGCCTCGAGCTCAATCCTTCAGTTGCCGCACTGCGAAGTGCAGACCTCGATTAGGGTCGAAAAGGAAGAGAAGAGCTCTGAGACGCTTCCGATAAGTCTATGAGATAGTACTGTACGCGCCACAATTGTAATTGGCAATTGTCAGTGATTGTTTAGTCTGAATCCATGCCCAAATTTGAATCTGTGCTTCAATATTACAATCCCGAGTGTCCCCCCATATTATTGGGGGGCCACACTCGATATTGAAGCAGCAACTTGAAGTAAATGTGTTTTTGTCCTGCCTTGCCTCGCCCGCGCCGTCGGTGCTGTCTGCCCCCACGTACCCGACTCCGAACTCGCAGTAAATACGGGAAGGCGCTCAGGCTCGAGTATTGAATGCAAGACATTATTCGCTAATCCTAACCCTAACAACATTCGAGTTCCAATCTGTGCGGCTTCAACACCACCGGGCACGTTGCTGATGCTGCTCATCGTCGCCACGCCTGAGCGGGATACGGGAAATTATCAATCTTCATTGGAGATACGGGACTAGCCATTAGGTTGCGCCATGTCTTTCATAGAGAAGCATAAACAGCTGGGACATACGTGTACATCAATGACATTCGCAGTTCTACCGTCTGGCTGGGGAAACTGGCGCGCAGTCCAAGCCCCGGTACCATGCAAGTGTCGTGCTTCGGACTACTAGTGACCATGACATTGACAGTTGCGTGGTGCGGAGGTACGCGGGACAACGGCCGACTGCTCTGTTCCGCCCAGCGGGACGTAAGGTAACACAATCCAGGGTATTACAAAATCCATGCACAATCAAGACTCACATACGCAGACCTCGCCCGATTACCCAACCAGACTCGGCGCTACTTCTACGATGCATCCCTGGCCATAGGCCAGTCCGCGCTCTCCGAGCCGCGAGTCTGCGCAGAGCACCTGCCCACTTGGCGGTCATCTCCTCGACGATCAGGAACACAGAACGGCGCGCCTGCCCATTCACGCAGTGTCGACCGTAACAGACTTTAGCGTTCCGTGGATTCGCCGGTGTCCCGTGATTGCTTTCAGCGCTTCAACATACACATACATAATCACGAAGGCCTCACCACATAGCACGCACTGGAAACGTATACCCGGGTCCAAATCCAGGGATACGCGTTATGCAGCACAAGCTGAATCTAAGGGAGGCAAGACATTTGCCAGTACCAGGAGGTTGGCCGGCATCCCGCGAAGACTCTGAGCAATGAGCGTCGAGCGAGTCGCATCCAATTGCAGGCAGTGTCGAATTTCAGACCTTCCGCAATAATACCCGCACCCAATCCGAGCGCACGCCGAGTCCCGATCCCCATCCTGTCCCGATCCAACCTCCACCCCCGGTAGCAATATCTTGCCTCAAGCCTGTGCTGCACGATATATGATCTTTGACGACTAGAAGACGTTGAATGAACACCTGAAAATTCAACTGGCCGAGAAAGAGACGCAGACTCGGAGAGCTCTAGTGGGGAAGCCCCATTGGGCAGTGGAGAACGTACGGGGACCGAGCTACGCTGGCGCGGCTGGCGCACACCAGAGACGTGTTCTTGTCGGTACCCGGTGTGTTGCCGAAGGCAGAGCACCCGCGCCATCCCGCCTTGGCTGGCCCCTTGTGAATATGCGTGCAATGGTTTGCCACTGGGGACCGTCACGCAGTATCAAGCCGTCCCCGTCTTTCCATAAAGTCCGCACTCTTGGCCCAATTCGTCTCCCCCTGATGAGGACGTCCAGCCAAATACTAGTGCTCGCATCACGGACTTCACCGAGTCACTTGGGTGCAGCGTCGGTCCGAGGAAAGCGGATGGGTCTGCTCGATAACAACCTAGAGAAACGCTAGCCGATAAATGAGCAGTGCACAGTGGCACTGAATGTCGCAAGTCGAGAGCGCAAGTCCAAGAAGCCACATCTGGAGCCCGGCATTGCTTGATGTCGAAGAAGCAGTGACCGCCAAAGACCCAGTCGTGTCCACAGACATTTGTCAGGGCTAAGCAGCAATGAGATAATCCGGTGGTCGAGGAAGAAGAGTGGGGTCGCTGACGGCATGCTTTATTGTATCCACAATGCTGGTGTCGATCACGGCAGGAAGTGCTAAGAACAAGAGCGCTGTGTACTGACTGATGCGGCGCAAGTTCGACCAGCAAGGATCCGGCGACATGATATATGTGATACACATATGCATCACTGGTATCGATGGGGCATGGCCAGCGTCATGAGGGCTTCCCCAACTATAAGTACCCTCTACCGGTCCGTCGCCTCGTATGGTGACTCGCATTGCCCCGTCGCCTGCGAAGGCGAGGATGAAGCATTCTTGTGGTTGGACCTACTAGCGTGCGTGACGAGCGGTACGTCGCCACCCCGTTACTCAGCTCTTCGCTACGACCATTACAGCGACGTTGCCATATCTGACTCCCGACGATCCCACGAGCAACTATCATCCAAAAGTGTTCGGGGATCGCAGTGAGAGGGGGAGCCTGGCGGGACCGAGGGACGAGTTGTGGATATCCACGGCGAGGCAGGAGCAAGAGTCCAGGGCCCCGATATTTCAGGACCCCGAGCCCCGAGGTTCCGACGCTGATTGGATACCGGAACGATAGTACGAGGCATCGCGAGATGAAAAGAGCGTGTCATAATCCGGAGGCATGTGAGATAAGATATCACCATCCCCAGGAGATCGCCCGAGTAGAAATACCGAATATCGAATGCAGAGTGTCGTCGTGTAGAGCGTTGGCGTCACGAGTGCGGAGGCGGGCGACCGTGCAGCAATGTGGCCAGGCTTCGCTGTCTGAGGGAAGGTTAAAGCTAGAGTGGTGAGAGCTGTGAAGCGTGGCAAGCGGGGACGAGGCGAGGCAGTGGCAGGGAATAGAGTTGTGATTCCAATCGGACCCGCGGGAGTACTGCAGGCAAAGGTGGCACTGGATGCGGGGATCTTCTGTCGGCCTGGGCAGCGATATGTCCGCGTAAGGAAGAGCACAGGATTCAGACGGCGTCGAGGCTCGAAGGAGGTCCGAATAGCATCCGAGGCGAGCAAAGCGTCCCAGGCCCGCAACGTGCACGCGCGACAGGCCATCACGCACTTTGTAATCCAACACCAGGCAGTGGGTCCGCTAGGTCCGCACCCGTCGACAGGGCAAAGTCATTTCGGGCGCAATCTATATGTAGAGCAGGATCAGGAATCCAGCTCTGGCCAAGCCGTTAGGAACGATCAGGATCAGCCAGTTGGAAAGCGCTCGGAGAATCGACGATCAGGAAGGGGGCGAGGGCAGCGCTCGTGTGGCAGGTGCACTTGCCATCTCGCGCGCGCAGCTGGCGGTGCCTATCGCTGATGTGCTGGATTGGCAGCGACACGGTCGGTCGTCTCACTCATCGCGTATGGCAGCCGCGTCTCTCCTCCAGGGCGTAGGTAAACCCTTGCTACCCGCGCGGAGTGCGGCAGGAGGAGCAGGCGCACCGTTGCCCCAGGCTCGTCACCAGCCGTGGTGCCACAGGGCGGGCCCTTGCGGGGGCCACGGACCTCGATCTGGACCCGCGGGACCGACGAGGCATGACGTTTTCCGAATGCGGTAAGAGGCGTGCCCCACCAAACACCACTCGCCTAGATCGAGGGACGGTCGATGGCTCCCGTGCACGGGCGAGTACTTGTACTCGCCGCCGCTGCTGTATTTTCGCCGCAACTCCGCCTCTACTCCTGCTCTAACGAACAAAACCAATGTCGACAGTCAAGCAATACCCATCGTCCTCCGCGTCCTCTTCCTCGTCGTCCTCGCCCCGCCCCGCCCGCCCCAAGGCGGCGCTGCATCTCAAGCTCGCGCCCGAGACGCAGCCCCCCGCGCGCGCGCCGTCGATGATCAACTTCGACGGGCTCTCGCCCGAGGTCATGGAGGCGATGTGCACGCCCATGCACCTCATCCTCCCGCCCGCCTCGCTCCCCGCCTCCCCCACCTCGCCGCCGCCCTCCCTCTCGCGCACCCAGTCTACTCACTCCTCCGCCGCCCTCCACCGCGCGCCCTCGAGCCATCCCACACATCAGCACAGACACACCGGCGCGCTGTACCTCGGCTCGCTCGCCGCGTCGATCGACAAGGAGCTGCTCCGCACGCACCGCATCTCCTACCTCGTGCAGGTGCTCGACGCGCCGTGGCTGCCCAGCCCGTTCGACGGCATCCGCTGCCACCGCATCGACATCCTCGACCTCCCCGGCGCGGACCTCAAGAGCCACCTCGCGGAGGCGTGCGACGTGATCGACGGCGCGATCGCGCGCGGGGAGAACGTGCTCGTGCATTGCCAGCAGGTGGGTGTTTCGCTTTCTTTCTTTCTTTCTTTCTTCCCTTTCCTCCCCACCCCGCCTCGTTCTGCGCGGGATCCCCGTCTGCGAAAGCGCCCCTTATCGCGTCGCGCGTGTGTGACAAAGATCTGCGATGCCGTTACTCGAGATCCGATCTCGTGCCTTTCCCGCCTGCGTGCTGATGGGACCCGGGATTCCGGCGCAGCGTTCACACTCTATTCTCCACCGTACTGACTCCTCTCCAGGGCGTATCACGCTCCGCGGCGATAGTCATCGCCTACCTCATCTCCCGGCACAACATGTCCTTCGACGCCGCGCACGAGCTCGTGCGCAAAAAGCGGCCCTGCATCAAGCCCAACGCGGGCTTCGTGAGCTGCCTGCGCGAGTGGGAGGGCATGTGGCGCAGGCGGGGCGTCCCGCACAACTCGTCCGTCAACACCCAGGCGGTGCAGAGCAGCGGCGCGCACGGGTCGGGGTACGCGCAGCCGAGTAGCTACGGATCGGGCGACGCGCCGCAGCGGCAGCCGATGCGCCGCACGATGAGCTCGCGATGACCGCGCCCGCGACGCCATGTACCCGGGGAGGAGGCGAGGTGCAATACACGTTGAAACAAAAACAGATCGGTTTGGTTCCGGTTCCCCCGTTGGATTTTCCTTATTCTGCTGGGACTTTGTCGCGTCGTGTGTTCCTCTTGGTATCGTATTAGTCCCAGACCTCCTCCCTGCCTCCCCTCCCGCCTTGCACCGTCCTTCTCCTTGCTTGACGCTCAGGTCTCTCGGCGCCCTCCCGGTCCAGGTCTCGGACTCATCGCGCTCTCCTGGCCGCACCGCCCATCACAAATGCAGGCGCGTCGAAGCACCCTCCATGCTTCGGTGTCTGTCATTTTACGTCCCCCCTCCCCCCGGCGGATCGCGTACCTCCGGCACGTCCGCCCCCGCGCTTCTCGCCCCCGCAGCTCCACATCGCTCACACCTCACACCACCGCACCACTCCTGCTTCGCTTCTGTGCACGTACATGTACACTCCACTGCCTAATGGACCTTGGTTACGTCGGAGACAAAGATAAAGAGGAATCGGGATATATGTCGAGTACTGCATAGTCTGGGTATACATACAGCTCTAGGGTATTATGTCGGGGTTTATGACGGACATGCATGTGTATAGTACTTGTACAAGCCGAATTTGTCAATGTATACGTATTAGCGGGTTATCTAAAGGTGCATTCTGCCGGCTGTGGATCCAGCTTCTGAACGATTCGAGCCTTTCGAGCTGCGTTCGTTGGAGAGCTCTGCGTGAGTATTCCATCGCTTTGACGGAGTGCTCGGCTCCCCGCCCTTGCGTGCTCCCGGCTGGCAATTGTGCGCCCAGGGTCACAATAGAGTGTATCTGCCCGTGCTGGAGTATATACCAGTGGATTAGTCGCTGACGCAATTTTGCATAGCGGGAGGCCCCAATGCAAATTTGCATCAGGATCGGCTAATCCAGGATTAGCGAGCTGTGGTATATACCCCAGCAGATACACTCTCACTGTCCACGGGTTTCAGCGTCGCATTCAAACCGAGAGAGTACTGACCGGGTCCAAGTATAACGCAAGTCCACCAGTCGAGTGGCTAGCCAATCAGGCCGCTTCCTGATCCCGGCCCGATCACCAATCCCGTCCTCCCGAAGACTATCTACCGCACGCAGGTGACCCCGCGCTGACCCAGCACCGCTCTTCTTATAGCACGCTCGTATAAACCAATGTAGCAGACAACGGTACCCCTCCAGCCTTTGCGGGGAGCGCGTTCCCACCACACGACCATGCCAGAGTGGACGCACCTCATCCGCTTCGTCGCCGCGGACGACGGCAAGACGTACTTTGGCCCGCTGGCGGAGGACAGGATCTTCGTCGGCCAGCTGGTCGACACGGCGCCGGACGCGCTGCGGCGCCTCGGGCCCGGCGCGCAGGCGTACGTGGTGACGGGCGACCCGCTCGGCGCGCACACGCTCACGCGCGACACGAAGACGGTCGGGGCGATCCTGGCGCCGCTCGCCCGCGCGCAGGTGCCGCTCATCAAGTGCGTCGGGCTGAACTACGCGAAACACGGTGCGTGGAATGTTGGCCGGGCGGGAGGCGAGCGGGCTGCTGATGCCGGTGGGCGGGCGCGCAGCGGCGGAGGGCAAGTTCGCGGTCTCGGACTGGCCGACGATGTTCATCAAGCCGCGCACGTCGCTCGCGGGGCCCGCGGACATCCCCATCCCGAAATGCGTGCAGGACAAGACGCTCGACTTGTAAGTGGCCCCCGCCCCCCTCCCCTCGAACCCTTTCTTACCATACATATCATAGTGAGGCGGAATTATGCTTCGTAATCGCGAAGGACTGCCGCGACGTCCCGCTGGGCGCGCCGGACTGGGAGCAGTACGTCGCGGGGTACACGATCGGGAACGACCTCAGCTGGCGCCGCGCGCAGCTCGACCCGAAGCTCAGCGGCTCGCAGATATGCATGGGCAAGGGCCCGGACAACTTCGCGCCCATCGGGCCTGTGCTCGTTTCTGCAAAGGTAGGCGCGCTGTCGGTGGGACTGGTGGTGGGCTGATGTGTGGTATAGGCGATCGACGCGTCGGACCTCGCGATCTCGCTCCGCGTGAACGGGAAGACGATGCAGGACTCGCGGACGTCGGATTTGATCCACAAGATCCCGGATATTATCTCGCGTTTCAGCCAGGGCACGACGCTCGAGAGGGGGACGGTCATCATGACTGGTACTCCCGAAGGTTAGCTGCTATCTATCCCCATGTAGAACGATGACTGATTATTGTATAAAGGTGTGGGCTGCCTGCGCAACCCACCGGTGTACCTCGACCATGGAGACAAGGTCGAGATCGAGATTGAGGGCCTCGGGATTCTGAGGCACGGGATTCACTACGAGTGATCATGATCAGATTCCCTATGCGGAGTCGCGGAATAAGCTGGCAAACCCTGGTCGCATTGTGGAATTGGATGGAAGTTATCAATCATGTATATCTATCTCTTGAGAAGTGGTTGAGTAGTCATATATATGGCCGACTTGAAAGATATATCATCATGGTGGAAGGACTCTTTGACAATCGCCGAACTTGGAACAACATATCCTGCTTTGGGCGAGGGCGGTTCCCGGGCCGGTTCGAGGACGATCTCTTCAGGCTGTCGCATCTCGGAAGCATCTTGAGCTCTCGTCTTCCTCCATGATATCTTTTCATTCGAACTGAATGCTCCAGGACCCCTGATAATAGGTATCAAGGCTTTGTGGAAACGCGGACAAATCAAGCCAAGTTAGACCTCACCAGGCCTTATTTTTCGCGGACAGAAAGGCCCAAAAACGGGTGCACGTCTGATTTTCTTTGCGGACATATATACCATGCGCTATCGATGCCATATGCTTGTGCGGACATTTATAGTCTCGTGGTTCAGGGGTTACCGCTTGACCCATGTACGATTGGTTGATTCCTGGATACTAGGTTCGATTCTCCATGTAGGCATGAGTTTTCAACTTTTTCTCTATACGATGGATGTGGCCATTGTGGGTCCCTATCCCATCTCATAGTAGACTATGTCTATCCAGCATTTATTAAGTTATTGTAGTTCACATACTAGAAACATGACTGTTTCTATTTAACGAGTTCCATCTCGAATCGGAGATGGCGGAGTTGGCTCCCGCAGTGGAAGAACTGGCAAAATTCCGCCGCAAACGCAAGGCGGCGAGCGGTGTGGACATGATTTCTGACGGTGAATAGAGTGGTGCTATAGATATACATTACTAGAAGAGCAAAATTGATACATTTTAATGCCTTATCCTACAGCGCGGACAAAGGTCTTGTAAGCAGAGCCCTGATCAGAATCGCGGACATTTTCGGCCAAAATCTGCTCAGGCCACATTTTTCGCGGACAAAACGGCACCAAATCCGGAAATTTGGCGCGGACAAAAAGGTCGGATTCTCAGGATTTAAAATAAAGCCTTGATACCTATTATCA